GGCGCCCTTGGGGGCCGGGAGAGGGGTAGAAAAAAAAAAAAAAAAAAATAATTCCCTGCAGCATCTGAGGTTTTCTGTAGCCACTCTCTTTGAGAAAAAAAACAAACAAAAAAAAACTCAATTTCTCAGCCCTTTTTTTATACCTGGAGCTATAAAGAAGCCCTGTCTTTTGTTTGAGGCCCAGCCCAGTCTTTTGAAAGTCCATTATGGTCACTTCCCTCCCCCCACAGATTCCCCCTGCATTAATGTAAACAAAGAGCATTGAAGTGAAAATCCCCTCAGGAACCCGGAGCCTCTGGACTGGGACAGGTGCAATTACACTGATAAGATCTGAGAGGCAGCAGCAGTAGTTCCACTGCTCCCCCTTTTTTTCCCAGACGTGAGCGCCGGGGTGCAGGGATGCTGCCCTCCCCTGCAACATCTCGCCGTTCTGCAACATCTCGCTGTTCTTTAGCTCACAGCAACAGCGTTCACTCACTGCACTTTATAGTTTCTGTTCACTTGCACGCTCACAAAGAGCTACCGGTGCTGTCAGTTGTTCCTGGTACCAGTTGCTTTGGTGGAACACAAAAAGTGTTCAAGGACATCAGATAAGAGGGGAAAAATGAATGAGCCTAAATCCAATAGAAAGGCTAAACTAGATACAAATATAAAAGTAAAAAAAAAATAAAAAATCCATTTTGCTAAGGTTAGCCGAGGAGCTGGAAACATTGGTAAAATGGCATCGACGTGACAAACAACGACTAGACAGATGGCGCTAAAGGGAAGACCGAAAGTGACTTTTATATTAAAGAGGCGTAAAATGTGCCATCTTCAGTGAACAGACAGATGCTCTTCTGTTTGTGCTCTACCATCAACGTTCTCTATCTCCAGGAATTTTATGTCTGCCCTGCCCTTTTTTGTTTGATTTGTTGTTTGTTGTTTTTTCTTTTCTTTTCTTTTTTTTTTTTTTATTCAGTGATTGAATGTGTTTCTTTTTGTTCACTGCAGTGTCCTTGAAGTCAGTTCCTTTATCCAGTGTGTGTCTTTGTTTGTGTGTGTGTGTGTGTGTGTTCATAGTAAAGCTTGTGGGGACATTGTTTGGGGAAAATACTTTTTGTTGTGTGGACGCTTTGTTCTTCTGGCAACATTTGAATGCAAGGGGTTCAAGATTTAGTTTGGAGGATTAGAACTAGGGTCAGATTAGATTGAATAGTAATTGTGTGTTTTGTGTGTGTGTGTTTGAATTGACGATTACAATTTGAAAGCAAGGCCAGTTTAAAAAAAAAAAAAAAAAACATTCAGAAACACATTGTATAAATCAGGTGCTGGACATTCTTGAAAGTGCTCGAGTTTCAGTAGTAAGCTTTGAAGGTAGAAACTGTTCGAAACCCCTGAGACCTGCAGCTGTGTTTCTTCTACTAACAAGCGCTCGTTGGGACAAAAAGGGGTTTTGAGTAAAATTTAGAGACTTAAAGTTAAACAAAAAATGAAAAAAAAAATAAAAAAAAAAGTTTAAATTACACAGAGAGTAAAAATAAACTAAATGTTAGGCGAAAAAATTAATAAAGGGTTGTTGTTAACATAAACTAAAAATAAAAGACTAAACTAAGAAATATATATACACATAAATATATGACTATTTATGTGACAAATGAGCCATAAAACAGCAATTCGACAACCAAGTAATAGAGTTTGATTGACGTAGCCGAGACTTATATTCTGACAATTGAAGCCGTTATTCAGATTGTGTACAGAATTAAAGGAAAAGTTGTATTTTGCTGGAAACAGTTTGGAAAAAATGATTTTGAAAATTGTTTTGAATTTTTTTTTTTTAATTCGACCTGGAAAACGTGTCGGCTCCCTGAGATTATCATGAATCTTTCTGTTTTTTTTTATGGAAAACTATTAAAGAAGGACAAAGAAGTGGGAGTGAAGGACATAAAAGCGGGCGGATCACTAAAAGACATCAGTCTGGACTTTAAAAGTGTCTGAGACACGGGGCTGAATGTGACAGAAGAGAGTGTGACGAGAAGCTGATGTGACAGTTAATCAACATTTCGCCGTCTCCTGCAGCACTTCCACCTTCAAGGACCTGGAGGGCAACAGTCTGAAGGACAGTGGCCATGAAGAGAGCGACCAGACGGACAGTGAGCACGACGTCCAGAGAGGACACTACGTAGACACGGCTGTCAACGACGTGCTGAACATGACGATGCCCCCTAATGTCTGCCAGCTGCCAGATCAAGGTTAGGAGAAAGGAAAACCTCTGAGTGGTTGTGGGTGTGGGTGTGAGTGCGGGTGCGTCTGAAGGATGTTTTTCCTCCAAACATGAAGATGAGCTGCTTCTCCGTTTTGCGTCTGATGTGTGTGGGGGGGGCTCTCTTTTTAATGTCTCCCGAGCATCTGTTCAGGTGCATTATGGCCGCTGCCGTCTTCAGATAATGTTTTCCCGCCTTTGATGTTCTTCTAGAGCCGCTAATGTGACGCTTTCTGGGAGCCAACGTTGCCCTTTGATTCAGACCAGTGATAATGTTCGGCGATAGCGGCCGATGCTCTTCACTTTAGGCCAGATGTCGTGTCTGACTGGCGGGAGGAATTTCTAAAGGTTTCCTTTGAGAGTGAATATTAGCATCAAAAACTTCACGACAATAAAATTAACGATAACAAAACTGTGGAACTTAGCTTTAACTTAATGCGATACTAATACAACATGTTAGCTAAAGCGTACAATGAATGACTTTCAGGCAGAAACCTAAACTAAAGCCTCCATAGATTAAAAAAAAAACTATGTAAAATGAAATGTGCGAAACCTTGTTTATATACAGTGATAGCAAGATTTATTAAAATGCAATTTTTGTAAAGAGATTCCTTATTAAAAGGAATATTCGGATATGACCTGTTCTTAAGGTTGCACCAAATAGTTCAAATCTCACAATTTGATTTGATTACCATTCACGAGACCATAGGCCCAATCTTGAATAGCAAAATTATATTGACGCATTGAATGGAGCAGGTAAAGACAATGTACAATAATGACACTTCCACGTTTACTTTCTGATCGACATGAGCATAAATTATAGTGGAGAATGTTTTTGTTGCCGCAAAAAAAAAGCCGCAAATCTTCAACAATCAACGCTTTGCGATTTGCTCTCTTTACTTCACGAACCCCCGGAAAAGCTAGCACACGTTAGCTTTTAAGGGTCAGCTGGTTTTGTTCTTGAGCTGTGGCTCTTGTTTTTTATTTGCCATTTTTGCTGAACCTCTCAATTTGGTTGTTGTTTCAGTGGCCGGTTGGTTGAGGATGTTGGTTGGCGTCTGTTACAGCTCACCACATGATTGGTTTGACTAAACCCCATGGCTAGCTTTATGCAGTTTACTACTTACCAACACATTAAATGATAACAACGAGTAGCTGCAAGAAAATGTAGGCTAAATGTTGGGAACGAAATGTTCAGAAATTATTCAGCTTTCTGAGCCGATTTACTATTTGCTATTGTCTTTAATTAATGTTGGGTTGTTTTTTTTTTTTACCTACGTTTTTGTCAGTGGCCAGAGTAGGTCACGTTGGTAATGCATTCCTGTGGGTCAGACTGAGAGAGAGAGACTGTGGTTGAGGATGAAGCTGAAGCTGTTCAACACAGACCAGCTCAGACTAAACTAGTCCACAGCAGGCTGTCCTGGTTTGCACCTGACTTTGGAGGAAATTCCACGTGCACAGGTGCAGAAACTCAGAGCGATGACTCACGTTCATCTGAATCTGGGTGAGGAGGAAAGACTGGAGCATCTATTTAAAAAAAAAAACAAAAAAAAAACACCGGCATCTATCTGAACTAAACATAACAACGTTGTGGCCCACTTTTACAATGCTGCCCGTCTTTTCCAGATTGCAGCCACACCGCTTGTTTCTGGTCCAGTGAGAAGGTCCATTCTTTCTCCTTCCTTCCTTCCTCCTCCTCCTCATCATCATCATTTTAATGAGCAGCAGGGAAAAAAAAAATCCTTAGCTCATGCATAAAGTAGAGCAGATTGTTTGATATTTTATTTTATCTATTTTTGCACAGTGTGCTGTGAAGTGTGTAGGAGGAACAGGGATACCAACATTTCCTTCCTCCCTTCCCTCCTTTTTACTTTTCTTTCTCCTAGTCATTTCTGTCTCTTTTGTTCCATATGTAACCCAACAGATGCTACTTCACTCACAGATTTTTTAATTTTTTTTTTTTTTTTTAATATGTTGATGCGATTTGAGCAGGCAGGAATAATATGGAGGAGAGTGTTAAGTTTTCTGGATTTAATAACATAAATGGATCTGTTTTTCATGGATGAGGGATTTGAATGAAACACACAACTAAATGTCTCCTCTGCTTTTTTTTACCCGCTAACATGAGCATTGTTGTTTGAACACACCGCAGTGTGCTGAGATACATTCAGGGATTTAAACCCGGCAATTCTCCCATCACGATCGACCCCAAATAAGTACCGTAATTTTCGGACTATAAGCCGCTACTTTTTTCCACACGCTTTGATCCCTGTGGCTTGATTTCTTCGGGCTAGCGAAGTTCATACCATTAGCGATCAATGACTTTTCTGGTAGGCTAGTGAAAATGAAATGAAAAAAAAATTGTAACACTTTCTGTGTAAATATCCCATGTAACATCGTGGACACCTGCGGCTTATAGAGAAGTACGACATATATATGTTCAATTATTTTTTTCTTTTTAAATTTTGGGGGGAGGGGCGGCTTATATTCAGGTGCGCTCAATAGTCCGGAAATTACGGTAGTTTGTGTCCAAGTGCAACACCTAAACAACTGTGCCATCTGTATCTTGAACTAGTGATGACCGATACTAGATATATTTTCACGATGATGCGATGATTTTTTTTTTTTTCATAACATTTTAGTCATAAAAAAATTACTTTATTTTTATGCAATGTTACCTAAATATTCATATTATCAGTGTACCCTACGGATACTAACGTACCCAAAAAGAGACACTTGAAAGAAGTAAAAGTGACACATACGCTTTTTTTTAATTTATTAATTTGTATTAGGAATCTCTATGAAAGTAATCGATACTCAATCGATACCACAAAATCCATCTCTACCTTACAGCCGTTGAACATTTACACACAATTTTTTCTCTACAAACCACAACCCTGAGCTGAAAATCAAACCAACCATCCTCACGATTACAAGACGATTTTTTTTTTTTTTATATATATAACCTGGCCAACAGCCTGTTCCGAAAGGTGGGAAACAAAATCCATCTCTACCTTACAGCCGTTGAACATTTACACACAATTTTTTCTCTACAAACCACAACCCTGAGCTGAAAATCAAACCAACCATCCTCACGATTACAAGACGATTTTTTTTTTTTTTATATATATAACCTGGCCAACAGCCTGTTCCGAAAGGTGGGAAACACTGAAGATCCTTTACCCTCATAAGTGGCTGACTACTGCTTTGTTTTATTGGCTTTGTAGAATTAGAGCCCGTGTCGCCCGAGCAGACGTTTCTAGATAATTAACGTTGAGTTGAAGCTCAGTGTTAATTGAACTCCGTTCCTCTGGACAATTCGCTGGCTTTCGTAATTTTAAGTCACTCTGGTCTTTCTCTGGTCTTCATGTGTTTTTTTTCGCACTTTGTTATAAATAAATAGCGACCCAGTTGTAATAAATGAGCATCCAAGATAACTAGCATTTGCATTTTTTTGTTCAGCAGTTCACCGCTGATTTGACCGTTTCCTTTCCTAACCCGAATATCTGGGTGCGTTTCTGACTCACCGTGTTCACTTTCCTCAGACATTAGTGTGTTGACTCTTCGGGGTTCGTCGGCACCTGTCTTCGAAGGGACTTTTCAGCAGTTGCGAAAAGCCGAGAGTAATGAGTGCGGAGGATTATTAAATGAATTGACCAGAGAGCCTGACACATGCAGAAATGTAATGATAAAGTAAATGAATTTGTCCCTTTATTACCATCGATGCTCTAATTACAGAGTTAAACAGGCTCAGTGGGCTGACAGAGAGTGGGAAGATTCAGAGTCCAATCTGTCTCCCTTCATCATTGTGTGTGTGAGAGCGCGCGGGCGCGTGCGCGCCTCAGTGTTTTCTCCTCGGGAGAACAGCGGCGCCCTCATTTCCCTGCTTCATTTTCTTCTCTGAAAAGCAGCCTTTAACGACAGAGCTGGGGATGAAATTAACAGAGACGATTTTTTTTTTTTTTCTCCCCCGTGTGAAATACGTTCAGCACCTTTTTCCTCCGCAGTGAAATCAAATATTGAAAGTATTTTTTTAACTAACTTTGACCCATTTGCGTGCAGAATGTAAATGTCTTCTTGGAAATATTGCAGCGGTATTTTACTTTTTCAATTTTTTTAAGCCAGTCCTGTGGACGTCAAATCACTTTGGAAAAAATGTAGTCTAGTATATTGTATTTATCTTCTTTTTTTTTTTCCCTTGTTTTGACATTCAGCCATGTTTCTAAACACTAAGTCTAGGAGTCCATTATTATTTTTAATTGTACCTGTGGTGCCGTATTAGGCTAACTGTTTAGCTATATCTTGGCTTCTGTATGTAGTAATGTTTTTGACGGCACTCTGAATTTTAAGTTCCTGTTCATTGGCTATCTTATATCTGCAATTTACGTTTTACGTTTTAGCTGTTTCTGAGCCAATATGTAGCCATTAATCTTGGCCATCATTTAATCATTTTTACTTGACGCTAATCTGTAATCCTGTGGATCGTACAACACTCATTGTGCTGGAGGAATAATAATAATAATAATAATAATAATAATAAACAAAGCTTTTTTTCCTGACAACATTTTTTTTTTTTTTTTTTTTTTAGATTTAAATGAAATTTTAGCCCATACTCTAACTTTAATTTGCGGTTGCTGGGTCTTTGTGTATAATCTGAGAAGTGCAGTGTTTACAGTGGTGCAGTGACGGTGTGGTTTCACTCGGAGCTCATCTGTCAGACCGAATTGGAAACTGTGTGTGTGTATGTGTGTATAGAGGTAGAGGTAGGACATGTTCAGTAAACACTGACGTCTTCAGGGACTGTTTCCGAGTCTCCGCTCTCAGATTCAGCCACGAGAAAACCAAGCAGGGAGAAAGGATCAGCAGCACGGGCATGCTCTAAATACACACCTGCTGATTTTCTAAGTGTGCGTGTCTGTGTGTTTTACTGTGGTTGGCCTTCTTCATCAGAGGAGAAAAAGGCAGCATTAAAAAAAATCGGGATGGTTT